TCGGTGAATGAGGGAGGCAGTTCAAATATCATCTGTGAAAGGAGCCTAGGGTTTGTGTATATAAATATATATTAAAATTACTAATACACCCTTTTTCTTAATTAAGGTAATACAATTAATATAGTAAAATGATTGGCTGAGATTGGATCTCACAGTTACCACAAACTAATCAGTTCTCATTTGATTAAGCCCCATATATATATATATATATATATATATATATATGTATGTATATATAGATTGTTTTATTCAAATTTATTCCCAAAAGATTATTTCTGACATTTCCAAATCCGTTCTTTTTTTTATTGCAGTTTATTTTTTAAATTTTATTTTCCATAATACGCAAGTTCCATTTTTTTTGGGTTTGCAATCATGATGTGATTGATTATTGTGCAGTTTTCGATATTAGTTTGATTCTTTCAAAAAAAAATCTTAATTTCACCAAAATGGGTTGAATATTGGATAATTTTTTTGCTTTACACTCTGTAAAAATCGTTGGGAGTTAATCAGGAATGAGTGTCATGTCAACGATGTTTTTTATACCATCGACAACGCTTGTTCGTCAAAGGATGTACGATTGAATGATGCAGACGATCTTGTTCCAGGGTTCAATGAAAATAAGACTATGCAGAACATGTTGAAGGAGGGTTGGCTGAATTTGATCACGTTGATCCAGGTCTGGATCAAACTGTCGAGGATGATATTGAAGTTTTGAAGGACGATGTTCTCGAGTCTTCTTACCATATAGAAGAGGAAGGTAATAGATTTGGAATTATTTTTTAGGGTTGAGTTTTTCATTATCGAGGTTTCATCAATTCAAACGCTAAACAGTTGGATTTGATTTTTCGCTATTCAAGTATGTATTCATGAACCTAAATTTGTAGTCGTGAGTGTTAGGATATTTAAGTCAATGAATAGTTTCTTTTAATGATATAACAATTCAGTATTTTACTTTTCAGTGGAGTTTGAGTACTGTTTCACAATTTGTTTTTGGCTACTATTACATAATCCAATGCAATAATTTGTGTTTCATGATATGGTCTTCACGAAACGGGATATTGTTGTTCATGAAATAGTGTTGATGCTAATGAACATTCTTGCTCATCCAAATATCAAGTTTCATGAACTTGCAACCACAATAATGGTCTCTGACTGATTTGAGTTTGGCTCCAAAGATCAAAAGTGTCTGGAGGTCCCAGGTTCAAATCAAAGAAGAAATAAAAATCCCTTGTAGCCACGGAAATTCGAATGTGGTGACTCCGGGCTACCCACAAAGTAGATGGTAGCCCTGAGATTAATCGACTCGAATAGCGGGTTGGATATCTAGGTTAATAAAAAAAATCATGAACTTGCACATTCATGAAACTGTATATATAGAGAGAAGTGAGTTATTATGCAATTCTTTACATTTATACAATCCTTACAGTTAAATCATGAGTGTCCATTTGATCGATTGTAACTATCCTTAATTATAAAAAAAAAAAAAGAATTTTCCTATATTTATGTGGTTTATTGGTAATTGGATGTGAGACTTTCATAATTAGCATTAAGGTTGTTTATTGGATGTGAGGGGAACAGAACCAATCATCAATTGAATGTTGGATTTTTCTAACCGATCCAATCCAATGGATGATTGAATCAGTTCAGTTGATCCATCCATTGGATATTCTTATTGGATATCCATTTGATCCAAGTGGATCCATCTGACATCCAATGGATGATTTGATCATATACGAAGACATGAACCATAAATGCAGGTATGTACCATCCCCAATTTTAACATAATGTATTTTAATGAAACCAAGAAAATTCTATATGTATCTATTTGCAAATTTTAACAGTAAGAATAAGAACCACAAAATTTTTGGAGAACAAAACAGTAAGAACCATCAAGGGTTTAACAACTTCACAGTAGGAACAAAACAGTAAGAAGTAAGAACTATCACAGTAACCACAAATTCTATTTTTATATATTTGCAATTTTTTAGAGAATATCACAGTAAGAATCAGCAAAGGGTTTAGCATCACAACAATATCAAAACAGTAAGAACTATCAAAGCAACCACAGATCAATCTACGAGGAAATACCTCAAGGGTTTAACAAGTTACAACTAGGTCTAAACAACAACTTACTGGGCTTAAAGTAGAAGTCGTTTTAGAGAGTTGCTAATCGAGTATAGAGATGATAACTCTCATTTTGAGTGTTATTTACACTTTGTTAATGTGTCTTTTTATTTTCTTATAGTTTGTGTTTTTTCTTTATGTGTTCGTATTTCCTCTTTTTATTTGTTTTATTATTATTTTGAGTTGTTGAGGATAAATATTTGTATTTTGATTAGTGCATGTGTTGTCTTTGGAGCTGGTACGCCATTGTGGCAACAACGTCACCATTGTGCTATAGATTTTTACTACCAAATTGGTGAAATATGGAGTAGAATTTGACCAAAGTCAACTCTGAAATTTTCATAAATAAGGAGGAGTTAAACAAGAAATACGAAGACAAATTAAGGGAAGAAGACACCATGAGAGGTCCCTTTCTCTCTCAAGTCATTTTCTCATGTCAAATCTCTTTCATCCCTTCTTTCCTCTTCTACTATATAAAGGGGATTGGTATTTTCATCGTGAAGCGTGATTGGACGTGACTTAGAAGCTGAGAAGTGTCATTTTACTCGGGTTTATTGTAATTTTATTTTTTGCAAGCTTACCTTTTGTTTACCACTGTGGTGAGCTTGTGGCCACATTGTTTCGTTTTATTTTGATGCAATTTAAGTTTAAGTACGTTTTTTTTTTGTTATGTCTTCCCTTTTAACTGTTTGCTAAAACCCCTCTTTGGGTGTGAGTGTAAGCCAAACCCGAGAGATCAGAATGTAACACTTGGGTGTGACCACTTTTGCTAACTCTTCAGTTTAGTCATTCGAGTTGAAGCCTTAACTCAACGCGGACAAACCGATCACTTGTGTGTATTAATATGAGATATTTTCACCCACAGGTGTGCGGATTTGAAAATACGGCTTGAATGATGCAAGGAGGCTTGAGAAAATCTTCAATAATTGCATGTACAAAGGTTCAGATGTCGGTCGAGTTGGTGTATCATAGAGATGTGCGCATCTCTCCATACTGACGGAGCTAAGATCATCGAGATCTACAACCGAAAGTTAGCATTTGTGAGAACTTTATGATAAAATCGTAATCACAACCCATGCGACATAGCTTCAAGAACATGAAATCATATGGGTTATTATTGTGACCGATTTCGTCAACCATTTAAGTTATTATATTACTCCCATGGAAAACTTACATCCATACCCATTTTTTTTATTACTTGTTATTTAAATCACCAATATTATCTCAACAACAATTAATTTTATAGAATTTAACTTTGCACCAAAAGTTCGTGGAAATATCTGATTCTTAGTATGACAGTCCTTGTGGATACGATTTTTGGTACCTTACCATTATATTACTTGTAAGCGAACTCAGTAGTTGGTGTATACTTGCCATCAACATCACAATAAGAACAAAACAGTAAGAACTATCACGGTAACCACAAATTCATCTTTGAGGAAATACCTCAAGAGTTTAATAACTAAGAATTAGATCTAAGCAACAACTTATTGAGTTTGAAATACAAGCCGTTTTAGAAAGTTGATAATCAAGTATAAAGAGTTGCTAATCGAGTGTAGAAATCTACTCCGACGTATGAGTAGCCGTCGCAAATTTGGGAGTGGTTGTCAAGAGCTGTTGTGGACGCCGGTGCCAATTTCAGATGCATACTGATTTGGCGATCTGGGTATTTAGGCTTCTTACTTCTTAGTTTTATCTGTGGATTTAAATTTTTTGGATATGCACCGGTGGGAAAGATGAAAGTAATAAAGTGATATGTTTTTGGTTTTCTAAAATTTTAGTGTTTATTAAATGTTTTCTAATTTTATTTTTTAGTTTTCAATTAAATATTATATTAATTATTAACTGGATAAGTTATTGGATGATAAGTGAATGAGTTCGGTTGGTTTTGATTGAATGGTTAATTGGTACGGTTCGGTCAGTTTTGGATTGCCCTCCAAGAACCGACCGATCCAAATTGAATGTTGAAATTTTTGATCCGATCCTATTCGATTACAATTGGATACCCAATCATTATCGGTTGGTTCTAATTGGATTAAATGACTTTTTGCACACACCTAATTAGCACATGTATAAATTAGTATTCAAAATACTATCAACACAGAACCCTTCACTCTTCCTTTAACACGTAGGGCAATGGCAAATTAACGACCTCCAAAAAGCAAAGTGGATCAGAAAAAGAGGCATAAGCTTTGTACATCCCCCATCTAGACACAAATAACTTAGAGAAATACCCTGATAACAAGGTTTGTTATAGCCGATCATTAACCACCCACCAAACCATCTCGATAATGACATACATAAATAGCCATAGACACAACAAAAAACCTCTATGCATGAACCCAAGTCTTATACAAACCGTTTTCACACCAACGATGAACAACACAACCTCATCCAATCACAATACCCGATACACAACACCAAAGACCCCTGATCAGTTATACAACAACCAAAATGCTTTTAAAAAATTCATGTGAACACATACCATTTTCTCTGGGTCCTCGTATTTGCCAACCACATATTTAATCATATCATACTTTTCGACACAAATGGAGCCACCGTTTAGCACTAATCCAATAACCGTCAAAACACAAATCAACGAATTAAGATACTTAAAGCGTTGTTTCCTTTTGTGCTCAATTTTCATCTGCTCGATACATGTTTCGTCTACTTTTTAGATACAACGTATGTACCGTGTATAACCTAACCGGACCCACGTGATACATTTTTTTTATGGTACCTAAGACACCAAATCTACCGCCATGAAAGCGGGAATGAAGTATTTCTACATGATAATCCGGCGGGAAATTTCCCACACTCCAATTAAGCCAAAAAATTGCCCTATAAAAACCAATATCCCCCGAATCCCCATCTTTTGTGCTTTCTCTCTCTTCGCACCTCTTTAAGTCGGCCCTTTTGCCCTTTTCCCTTCTACCTCCTACAACATTTGCAGAACTGTGAGGAAAACCCTTGTCGATCTCCATGGCAAGACGATCCAAATCGAAGGAATCAACGGAAGAGTCTTTGTCTAATTCTTCCGAGGAGGAACAGGTCAATGATCAGGAAGAAGAAGAAGATGAGGAGGAACTTGAAGCGGTTGCTCGGCCTGTTGATTCCGACGAAGATGAAACCGCCACCGCCGCGGTTGAGGCTACCGGTGAGGAACAGGACGAAGAGGAAGAATACGAGGTTAGTTGTTTTTGATTTTTAGTTTATTTTTGTCGTTTTGGATGATTTTGTGGATGCATGTTTAGGTTTGAAGTGTTTTGCAGGGTAACGTTTTTATGATACATTTTTGGTGTGGTTTTGTGATGCAGGATTTTATTAGGTTTCGTATGATCTTTTGGTGTGTTAGGGTGGTTGGTTTAGGTTTAGTATAGCTGCAATCTATATATTTTTCTCTTCTGCGAAAGGGGGAAGTCGTGTGATGTGCCAAAATGCTTGATTTTAGATGTAGTTTGGCTAATGCTTTCACTATGCATAGACGCTCCCCTGGAGTTGTAGTTGGTAAATGAAATTGCTTCCTTTGCTTAGTGTGTTATAAGTGTCTTTGTAAAAGAACACTACTAAAATTAACTTAGCAACGTTTTTAAAATTGAGTAGAAAGGAGCAGGCTGGAAGATACGTGGGCATAACAAGTACTAGGACTGAATAACTGGAAATTATATAGAACACAAAGGGATCTGATTTTGGCTTGTGTTTCGGGGTTTAGAGAGTTGAACTACTTTTCTCTTGCTCTGGACCTCCCCATTTATACTATTAGTCTACGTGTGTTGATTTCTCTTTGGATAATTGGGGAATTCTCTAGTGCTGCTGGATTTAAAGCAATTGTAATGGCATTGACTTCAGCCTTTTGTAATTTTATATCGTTCTTTGAACCCAACTTTCAATGGAGTTGAAAGGTAGCCTGATGAAGTCATTGGAAAGTTGCCTTCCTCTCCAGCCATCTTTTTTATGATGACATTCATGCCTCTGGACCTTGTCTCCTCCATATTTCTTTTTCCCTTGACTGTTATATATGTCCATGTTTTCAGCAAAAAGAATGGCCTGTCTTATGTTGAACATGAGTGGTAGGATCAGAACACCTCAGCAAGTATTAATATGCTATAACTGCTGAGCAATCTTTTAGCATGAATTTTTTCTGTGATTTGTATTAACAAGTATGTTGACCTTCCCCTAAAAAATGGCTACATTGATGTTATTGAGTAGACTAGTTCCATTGATGATTTGTTCACCTTGAGCTTTCAGAACTGATATTGTCCTAGACATATATGATTTGATATTTTTGATGGAATCAAGTTGTACATTTCTGATAGTTAAGATGTTTATTCCTGCCATTTCTTATAGCAGTGTATGAAACTGAAGCTACAATGAGCTGAACCAGCATTGTCATTGTTATTTGTGTGTGTATATATTACATGGTCTCTTTATTACTTGCAGGATGGTAATGATGAGTCCAACAATGAAATTAGTCATCGTGAAAAGGCCAGATTAAAGGAAATGCAAAGGTTGAAGAGACAAAAGATACAAGATATACTGGATCAGCAAAATGCTTCTGTTGAGGCTGATATGGTGTGTCATCTAGGAAAATCACTGTCAAATGACCCTTTTGTTGCTTTTTTATGTTCAAATTAAACCCATTAATGTGGTTATTCCTGATATTGCATTCTGACAGAATAACAAGGGAAAGGGGAGATTGAAGTTTTTACTGCAGCAGACAGAACTGTTTGCTCATTTTGCCAAAAGTGACCAATCTGCTTCTCAGAAGAAGGTGAAGGGAAGGTAAAAACTGTACTGATTTGGTAAACTTTGAAACCTCATCATGAAGATGTTCCATTTGAACCATCAAACATATTTGGGTGATCTCAGTGGTAAGGATGTGGAGATGACTAATGCATTTATAGATGGAGTTGAGATTGAGATGTATGTAGTTTAAACCAATTAGTGTCAAATAGGAAGAGTGACATCAATGATCATAATGGTAATGGATGTGGAGATGACTAATGCTTAGACAGGTTCCAAGTATCTTAATAACCATTCAATTCTATTAAAATTAAAATTGCCCCATGTAGTTAGGCTTATCCAAGTCCTATCTTATCATGTTAATTCTATACATACATACATACATACACATATATATATATATACATATATTAGCTTTGGTATGATTCACTATCTTTACAGGTGGTTTTGGGATTTTGTATGTTGAATTAGGTTGCCAAAGCCCAAAACTGCATTGGGGTTGTATAGCTTTGATTGTATTGGTTAAAACAATCTGTCTTTCCAAGCAACTAGTTATTTTATAAAATTATGGTTGTGGTTGACTGAACAAGGATAAAAAATGTGGGGAAGGCATAATAGTAAGGTGGGTAGACACAATTGTTGCCAGTTCTCCAACCTCCATTTAAGGATGACTTGTGCCACGGACCAGACAAATACATGTTTTAGTGTTGTGATTTAGTGATAAAAGACTGCTGGTAACCTGTTGGATAGTGGGTATATTATGGTTTCCATTTCAAATATATGGAAGCAAGATGTAATACTATGGTACATATACATCTACCTGTATGTGTCTCTTTCAGGCCTAAATTGCTATAATTTTCTTGATCCCACTGTCAGTATTATGTACAAGTGTGTGTATTTACATTGTTCTTTTTAGTATGATTCACTTTTGCAGGTGGATGTTATATCTATGGTTTCTAGAACCACATTTTTTTGACCATTTGCTCTTTAAGGCTATAAACTTGTATATTTGGTGAACTATTGTTGGAATAATCTGTTGACTGTCAATGTCTTGTCAATTTTTATGTTATGAGGTGCTAATATATTATTTTTATTATTAGTGTTTTTGAAGATTAAAGATGCATAAATAACATCTCTCAACATGTTATGCTAATATGAACCTTATTTGATGGTGATCCTTTGTTTTATTTTGGTGCTTAGTGGTCGTCATGCATCAAAGCTCACTGAAGAAGAAGAGGATGAGGAGTATCTCAAGGAAGAAGAAGATGGTCTGTCAGGAGCAGGACATACCCGATTGTTGGTGCAGCCCTCTTGTAAGATTTCTCTTCTTTTTTCTGCTAAGCTGGTGTCATGTGATTTATAATATGATTAAATGGAGATGTGTTCATAGCATTGAACTCTGAACTTCTTAGGCTTGATGGTATTTGATTAATGCCTGACATGTTATATGTTGCATTTTATTTTTATATGCTTTGTTCTTCTGCTGATGCATTTATAAAGTGCTATGCACACATATGTTGATGAATATTCTTTTATTTTTAGGTGGATGGTGTCTTTTAAATTTTTTAACCTGTATCCTGTTTAAGTTTTTCTGTACTCTGAATCACTTTTGTTTGATGCTCCTAGCTACATCTATAAATGCATGTCTTAAGAGAAACGCTGGTCTCAAAAGATTCTGGTTAACCAGCATTCTTTGCTGGACTAAAAATCAATCACATCAATATGTTGTAATGATTTTTAATTGGTAAATTTGGAATTTTGGATTGAATCTTTTCCAAAGCAATGTTGCATCTTTTTGTTATCACAAATTCAAAACTGTCTTCTTGTTTTTTTGGGGATGAAGGGAGTGTTTTGTGTTGGCTGTAACAATGTTTGAAACTGCCACATTCTTTAAAATAAATTTGAAGTGTATTGTTTTCCTTTTTAGCTAGCTAGCTTGTTTATAACTTGTTTTCAATCTGACAGTATAAGGTTTACACTGGCTCCTGAATTTTGACTTTGGGTTCTGTCAATTTTTTGTCAGGTATTCAGGGAAAGATGAGAGATTATCAACTTGCTGGCTTAAACTGGCTTATAAGATTATATGAGAATGGTATAAATGGAATCCTTGCAGACGAGATGGTATGACTAATCTTTATCCTTAGCCTTAGTTTTATAATGCAACTCCTGCTTGCTGACCACTTGTTAATGATCATGGCTTGCTTTATTATTGATCAGGGACTTGGTAAGACCTTACAAACCATCTCCTTGCTTGGTTATTTGCATGAGTTTAGAGGAATAACTGGTCCTCACATGGTTGTTGCTCCAAAGTCTACTCTTGGCAACTGGATGAATGAGATAAAACGCTTTTGCCCAATTTTGCGTGCTGTAAAATTTCTTGGGAATCCAGATGATAGGGTATGCTGCTGGCTTGTTTTATTAATTTTAGTGCTATTTTGTATAAGCTTGCAAGTGTTAATACCCAAATTTACAGAAATATATACGGGAAGAGCTACTTGTTGCTGGAAAGTTTGATGTGTGTGTCACCAGTTTTGAAATGGCCATCAAAGAGAAGGCTACCCTACGCCGCTTTAGCTGGCGTTATATCATAATTGATGAAGCTCATCGAATTAAGAATGAAAATTCACTCCTTTCAAAGACCATGAGGATATACAATACCAACTATCGTCTTCTTATCACAGGCACACCACTTCAGGTATGGAATTTACTTTTTTTGCAGTTTGCATGTTTGATACTTTTGTTTCTCTTTTTTTTGCGAATAGTCATGCACATTGTTTCTCAACAATATTAAGAGAGTTCATAGTAATTTAAAAACTTTTGATTTGTGTATTTTAATGAAGTTAATATGCTTCATTTTCTGATTGTTTTGGCCTTCTATCATGTGAAGTGGTTGAGGCCCAGGGGGATGTGGTGGAATATCCCATCTGCCCTGGGTTCAAATCCAGGCATTCACAACAATTGTGGCCACTGAGTTTATAAGGGCTGATGTCTTACAGTTGCAATTCATTTGCTTCCCTTTATTATCTTTCTATCTGTTTGTGATCTTGTGTTGCTCAATATTTTATCATATCAGACTTAGTTTTTTGGGTGTTCTTTTGCTTACACAGAACAACCTTCATGAGCTCTGGGCACTGCTGAACTTTTTGCTACCTGAGATTTTTAGCTCTGCTGAAACCTTTGATGAGTGGTTTCAAATTTCTGGTGAAAATGATCAGGAGGAGGTTGTTCAACAGCTTCACAAGGTATGCTGGGTGCTTTAGGTGAAATAGTTTATGCTTTGATGGTATTGTTATACCTTATTTGCCTCTGTTTTCCATCTTCAGGTTCTAAGGCCCTTCTTACTTCGAAGATTGAAGTCAGATGTGGAGAAAGGTTTACCTCCTAAGAAAGAAACCATTCTCAAGGTTGGAATGTCTCAAATGCAGAAGCAATATTATAAGGCTTTACTGCAGAAAGATCTTGAGGTAGTAAATGCTGGAGGTGAGCGAAAGCGCCTGTTGAATATTGCTATGCAGCTCCGCAAATGCTGCAATCATCCATATCTTTTTCAAGGAGCTGAACCTGGTCCTCCTTATACTACTGGGGATCATCTTGTAACAAATGCAGGTAAATGCTTTCACCTTCTTCCCTGTATCCATATGCATTCACTGCTGTGTCATCTATCTCTAAAAGTTTTTCTTTAATAACAGGCAAAATGGTACTTCTAGACAAGTTGCTCCCAAAATTGAAGGAGCGTGATTCAAGGGTCTTAATATTCTCACAGGTTCGCACCTAACTGTTTCTTTTGTTGTATTGTATGATTTTATATATTTGGCACTTATTCTTGCAGCATTGAAGTAATGATTTATCTCACTTGAATCAATTTCAATGAAATTCATTGTATGTTTTTAAATTATCATGCATTTACATTGTCTAGTTATGTCACTTGTAGTATCTTAGTATTATGATTTCTTATAATTATATATGCTATGTATAATGAAAGATTTTTTATGAGCATGCTCTCATCTGATATAATTTTATAGATGACAAGACTGCTGGACATTCTTGAAGATTACTTAATGTATCGTGGATATTTGTATTGCCGTATTGATGGAAATACTGGTGGTGAAGATCGTGATGCTTCAATTGATGCCTTCAATAAGCCAGGAAGTGAAAAGTTTGTGTTTTTGTTATCAACTAGAGCTGGAGGCCTTGGTATCAATCTTGCTACTGCAGATATCGTTATTCTTTATGATAGTGACTGGTGAGACACAGGGGTCTTTTTTTCTGTTTCTTTTTTGATCTTTTGGTTTGTTGACATGACTTATTTTGGCGTGTTTAAACTACTGTGTAGGAATCCACAAGTGGATTTGCAAGCTCAGGATCGTGCTCATAGGATTGGGCAGAAGAAAGAGGTTCAAGTGTTCCGGTTCTGCACTGAGGTTGTGCTCATTGTTTTTTCCTGCACTTGATTGAAAGCTGCTGAATAATCACCCACTAAATTTTATATTCTAATTGATTTATAACAGTACACTATAGAGGAGAAGGTCATTGAAAGGGCTTATAAAAAGCTTGCACTTGATGCTTTAGTTATTCAACAAGGACGCCTAGCGGAGCAAAAAAGTAACCATTTCTTCATCACAGCTTCATTTACTTTACCCAGAAAGGGTTTTTATCTCATGTAGATGTTTTAGATTTTAATGTGCCATTTTTATAATTCTTTGTGATGTTTTTTTACAGCGGTAAACAAAGATGAGCTGCTACAGATGGTGAGATTTGGTGCTGAAATGGTGTTCAGTTCAAAGGATAGTACAATCACGGACGAAGATATCGATAGAATCATTGCTAAAGGAGAGGAGGCAACTGCTGAGCTTGATGCCAAGATGAAAAAATTTACAGAAGATGCAATAAAGTTCAAAATGGATGACAGTATGTGGTGGATTTGTTTTTTATGCATCTTCGCCGTTGGTTATTTTGTGCTTATGCAATTTTAATGGGTTGTGAAATTAATATATTTTCATATGCAGCTGCTGATTTGTATGATTTTGATGACGATAAGGTATTGAGTGGCTTGCCTGTTATGTGATAATGTTTTATTACATATGTGGCTTCAATAGCATAACTTACTGACCATGACATTCATCCCTATTGTGATTGTGAAGGACGAGAACAAGTTTGATTTTAAGAAGATCGTCAGTGATAACTGGGTCGAGCCTCCAAAAAGAGAGCGGAAGCGCAAGTAATATCGACTTCTAGTTCTAATTCATGATATTTAACTGTCTTGTAATCTATCTTTTAATTTTGCTGTTATTTTTTTCAGCTACTCGGAATCAGAATACTTCAAGCAAACAATGCGTCAAAGTGGTCCAGCAAGGCCAAAGGAACCCAGGATTCCTCGCATGCCACAATTGTATGTTTTTCTATGATTTTTTTTCCTTGTTTTGGAACTTAAATTATTGTCTTTTCTCTTTTTTTATATAAAAATTCATTTCCAACATATCTGTTGAACTTGCTACCTTTTATTGTAGGCATGACTTCCAGTTCTTCAACACACAAAGGCTTAGTGAGCTGTATGAGAAAGAAGTGCGCTATCTCATGGTGGTATTAACTGCAGCCCATAAACTTTTATGCATCTACCATTATTGCTAATCGTCATGGTTTTAGACTCGGGAGTTTTCTACTCACTCCTGATATTCTTTTCTTGGCTCCTTGAATTTTCAGCAGGCACAACAGAAGAATCAAGTGAAAGACTCGATAGAAGTTGATGAACCAGAAGGTATGATAGAAGCTTAAGTTCTGTGTTTATTTTAATCTGAACATTTTAGTAGCAAGGTACTAATTTATTGTGAATCTGTAGAGGTGGGAGACCCTTTGACTGCTGAAGAGCAAGAAGAAAAAGAGAAACTACTGGAAGAAGTATGTGTAGATTTTTCTTTTTGTCACTATATGATACGGAATGTCTTGTATTTAACTTGGTTCAATGTGCTTTTCTTTTTGTTCAGTATGTTAAAACATGATAATTCTTGATCCCAGGGATTCTCCACGTGGAGTAGGAGAGACTTCAATACATTCATAAGGGCCTGTGAGAAGTATGGCCGGAGTGATGTGGGTAGTATTGTTTCTGAAATGGAAGGAAAATCGGAGGAGGAAGTTGAAAGATATGCCCGAGTCTTTAAAGAAAGATACAAGGAATTGAATGGTAAGTGCAATTCTTTTTGTAATTTCACTTGCTTACACATCAATTTTAGAAAAGAGCCTTGGTAACTAAGTTATTGATTAGTTTTGCAAGAGGATACTTGATACTCTTAATGGATTTTAAGAGAATTATAAACCATTATCATAACATCCCAAAGGTTTCATTGGGTAATTAAATACTTTGAGTTGATTGCTTGTATAGCTTAAATGGTATCTGGTCTGCCCTCCAACCAAGGTTCAAAAAGGTGTGAGGTGTGGCGTGGCGGTGAGGTCAAGCCTTGTCGTGGCGCTTTTCAAGGCGTGACACAAGGCTTCAAATTTGTATATCATATATAGGGTTTTATATATAGATATATGCTTTCTATATATTATCTAATCAGCTAATGATATTAAAAAAATGTACATTCATATTAGAAGAAGAAAATCATATAGATTATTTTTATAAGAATAGGTTTTTGATTCAATGTTTAAAATAGAACTTAGAAAGGTAATTTTACAACTTCATTTTAACCGTGAATATGGAACTGTGAGTAATGTGACTAGTTAGATCTATAAAAGTGTAAAATCTAAAGCTAAAAGTGTAAACACAAAATAAAGAACAAAAAAATATTTTTTTTTGGAAAAAGATCACGTGTTACAAAAAACGTGTGCCACGGTGCGCCTCAAGACGCCATGGCGTGAGCCATGCCTTGCAGAAACGTTATGGGCCATTTCATAATGGCGGAGAAGCATCTTGCCCCATATCGTGCCATGGCGTGCCTTTTTGAACACTGCCTCTAACTGACAATATCTTTGAGGTTGTGGGTCTGAATTCTTCTTTTTTCTTTTGCTGGTTCAAACAATTGTAATTGAAGTACTGATCCATCTGGAGTGTTCCATTTTTAATTAAAAGAAGTTTCATATGTTTGCTTTACTTGTAAACATTTGAGCTATTTTAATAGTTATTAACTTTGATTTGAGACTTATGGTGTGTGCTGTTTTTAACAGATTATGATCGAATCATCAAAAACATTGAGAGAGGGGAGGCTAGAATTTCTCGTAAAGATGAAATAATGAAAGCAATAGGAAAGAAATTAGACCGTTACAAGAATCCTTGGCTGGAGCTTAAAATTCAGTATGGTCAGAACAAAGGCAAGCTCTACAATGAAGAATGTGATCGATTCATGGTAAGAATCTCTCTCAGAATGTGATTTGTGCACTGATGGTATTTATTATAACAAGATTGTAATTTTACAGATTTGCATGGTTCACAAACTTGGTTATGGGAACTGGGATGAACTGAAGGCAGCATTTCGGACATCACCTTTGTTCAGATTTGACTGGTTTGTCAAGTCTCGAACTACTCAGGAACTTGCAAGGAGATGTGATACACTCATTCGTTTGGTGGAGAGGGAAAATCAAGAATATGACGAGAGGGAGAGACAGGCTCGTAAAGAGAAGAAACTTGCTAAGGTTCAACTTCTTTTTCTCGCACAACTTGTACTCGCTCAAAAATATACGCAATGAAAAAACAACCCTTCTTAATTAACTAAATGACAATTTAACCCTCAATAAAGAGCGAGTAATGAATGTCTCCATCTCATAGTCAAAGGGTAGGATAGGAAAGTAAGCACATACTTTTGAAACTGGAAAGCAACTTATTTTTGAACTTGAATATTTTAGAACATGACACCATCGAAGCGGGCCATGGCACGTCAAGCAACAGAGAGCCCACCTTCTACTATAAAGAAGCGGAAGCAATCGTCAATGGATGACTATGTTAACTCGGTAATGATATTTCTTGTTATTACTCATCTACAGTGAGTTGGTTCGGTTTACGGAAGTTGCTGATATGGCGATTTTTGCAGGGAAAGAAAGGCAAATGATGAGAGGAGCTTGGATGCAGCATCTGATTAATAGTAGTAGTGGTCATAGATGAGTAGTTAGTAAGTAGTATATATATGAATTTGGCATTGCCAGAATAGGCAGGAGGGAACATGGGTGTATACAATGTTAATTTGGTGCTACTCTGATCGGATCTCAAATACTGTTAACTGGTGCTTACCAATTTCGGTTTTTTATATTTTGTATTCAGCTGCAGTTGAAGAACAGGGCATGTTTTGCTTGTTTAAATACCATGGAACTTATAAAAGCTCTTAAGCTGTCTTTTTAATGTTCCATTACGAGGAAAAAAGTTGAAAAACCATTAAGTTCCATTGGCATGCAAATCACATACAATTACATTTGCAAATCGCATAGTGAAGGTTTTGTATTACATCCATTTCATTTCATAAAGCATGTACTGTGTATAGCATGCGTCCAACAAGATAGGTAATGAGCTGTTTTGGTATTTGCCGCAGAATGATTCATGATATAGTGTAAAATGAAATATAATTGTTTGGTATTTGTTTATAATGAAATTAAAGTGTTGAATGGTCAAGGGAGATCAATGAAGTAAAATCATTCAGAAGATTTTAAGACCATTAAAAGATAGATTTTTTTGTCAAACTAAATTCACCTCTTAATGATTCAAAGGTTGTCTATTCCTGGAATTATTAAAAGGTAAAAGAAACATGAAACAGCCCCTTATTCAGTTTTTAAAACTGCTGTTATTGAAAAGAAGACGAGACTATTTTCAAGCCAATCATAATACTGTTTTGTTCTAGATATACACAATCTGATTACTAGTAATCAAAACATTTAAATTATATATTTTAACGATAATATTTAAATTTTTGAAAGGGTATTTTTGGAATATCTTAAATTAAACTAAAATGGTACTCACGCAATGCAGCGAAATACATCTTGATTTTAATATTTCATTTTATTTTTTTTATCTCAGTCGATGTTATAATATAGTCTTATGTGATTTTGAAAAAACAATGATGTTTTTATTTTTAATAAAATATAAATTTGAAGATATCATAAAATTTTGACAAAAATATATCGATATTAGCATCAAATTAACTATTTAAAATTCCTTATTTTTTGTGTAATTTTTAATTTAATTTTTTTATTATAATTTAATTTAGGTTCAATAACGAAGTAATTTATATTTGGTTTAATAATATAATTTTCTTATAACAATAATAATTAATTATTTTGTTAGAACTCGATAATTATTCTAATTATATTTTAGATTTTTTATATTTTAAAATGAGATGTTTATTCGCAGTTAATTACACGAAATCAAACATGGAGCTTTAATAAGTTATACTTTATGCATAATTTACTTGTAGTCTGAAATTTTAAGGAATATGCATCAATGTACAGTATTTCGTATATAAAAAATAGTTTCTAAGAATTTTAGTCAAATGCTTTATAATATAGTATAAATATTTATTATAAAACATTTATTTTTAAAACAAAAAGGTACAAGTCGTATATCATATAGACTAGTTGTGTACCCGCGCAATGCGGCGGGAGCCATGAATTTTAACAATTTTGAAGTTCCATTGGTTTTATAAGATAAGATTTAACGATGATATATGTTACACTTGGTCTTTACATATTAATACAATTTGAATAAATAAGAGTTATGGTTTCAATTACAGATCGGTGAAAAAAATTGTATGACAGTTTAAAATCCAACATATTTAAACGACTCGACAAATGTGTTCTATTTACACCAAAAGCAAAAAACCAAGAAACTTGAGTTTTAAGATAAATACTCAAAACCAATAAAAAAAAACTACAAATTTGACATCTCATAAGCCATGAAAAGACCAAAAAAGATGGGTTTTAGAATGAAATTTCAACTGCTTACCCTCTTTCTTGTCCAGAAACTCAGATTAAGGTTGAACTAATACATGTATATATATTTTTCAAAAAAAAACCCAAGAACATATTAATTCAGAACATATTATACAGTGCAATTTAGACAGCCTAACCCCAAAATATATAATATATATATATATAAATAAATAACTATAAAAGTATAAATCGTAAATATTAAAAATATTTTTTCACAGTATATATAATATATAATAATATAATTAAGTCAAAAACTATTCAATATTGGACTCATTTCGAAAGTATTAACGAGACGATTATAATGATGTAATTTGTTAAAATAAAAATGTATTTTTTAAACATGTTTTAATTGATATACGATTATGTATATTAATTTGATAAAAGTTTAAAATGAAACATTTAAAAGTAAAAGACGTAAAGTAAATTAATTAACTAATTATAGGGGCATAAAATGTAAATTTAAAATTATAATTTTAAAAAAAATAAGATGGGTGTATATGAAGGGGTGAATGTATGTGAGGAGAGGAGAAGGTGAAAAAGTGAAATAAAGGGTATCTTAGTCATTTATTATTTTAAGACTTTTGTTAAATTTGTTTTATAGGATAGTATAGATTAATTAACTAATTATAGGGACATAAAATGTAAATTTAAAATCATAATTTTAAAAAAATCGGTTGTGAGAGGGTAAATGCATGTGAGAGGGTGAATGTATGTGAGAAGAGGAGGGGATGAAAAAAATGATATAAAAGATATCTTAATTATTTAGTATTTTAAGACTATAAAATTTTTATTTAATTTGGTTTATAAGATAGATAGATATAGATAAAAGACTCCCGGTAAAAAAAACCTTTAAAGAAAAAGAAAAGCCTCCCAACACAAAGAAATTTTTAATCTGCACAAAGGGTTTTTGTGTTTGAATCGAAGGCGGGCTGAAACTTTCAAAGTCCAGTCGGAGTCGGAAATGGATGTCCCCAAGGATCAAATGTCTACTCTTCTCGATTGCGGCCTCTATAACTCTGCTCAGATGCTCGTAAATCTCTTTCCTTCTATCATGATCAAACACACCACTGCGTTTTCTGTAATTATCAGTTTGCTGATGATTTCCTCACACTAGACCTAATTCGTTTTCGTTTGATTTGATTCGATTCGATTCGATTCGGGACAGGGTTGTTTCCTTGTTTCTTCATCTTCTGTGAATAATGACACCAGTCCACATCTCAAGGCGGAAAATCTGGTGGGTGTTTTTCTATCCTGTAATTTAGTCATTTCTTCTTTCAATGATACTCCTTGAGCTGCACTTTTGGATTTCGTTGTTAAAGAAACTTTCCAACTTCTAAAAAAATTGATATGGATTTTTTAAGTTTTCTTAAAAATTGTTAAAAGGGTTACTTTTATATGCTATGAAGGGTTTTATGTTAGTGTCAATTTACCAACAAAATCCATAAAGTATCACTTTGACTTCTGAAACCGATGTTGCTACTTTATGTGGCGAATTCCTGTTTTTTAGTCTTGCTTAAACCAAAGATATTTGCTAAAATGCTTCCAAAATAAGGGATTCTTTTTACATTTAATAGCAGTTTATTTTTTGGGCCTACTTATGTGTTTGCTCATGTCAAATTGCTACCTCAAAAGCAGCAAGTGTGAAGTTCGTTGCAAGTCCTTGTAGTGGGTTGCCAATAACATCCCACCTTGGTTTTAGTTGCTGAGTTATTGGGTATCTCTGCTGCTCTAGGAGTTAGTAATGGATTACTATTTGAGTTCAAGTAAAGATGTCATGTATTAAGTGGGGGAGTTTGTGGCATCCATCCCATATAGGTTGTAACTATGAAGTGTGAAGCTCTTTATAAATTATTGGTGGTGGGTCACTAATAACCTCATATAATGGTATTAGTTGATTCAGAGATTATTTGGCAAACTCTTCGGGCTTGAGGTGTTGTGAACATATTATTCTTTTTTCCCAGCATTTATTGATTATGGATCAATGTTTTCTTCTGTTTTAGGCTCTCTACGGTGATGCTTTGCTTCAAGATAAGGAGTACAGAAGAGCTATTGTAAGATTCTTCACATAACATACTGGATCATGAAAGTTTATGTATGTATGCGGTGCATATCTGTTTACATGAACATGGCAAGAACTCATTTGTTTGCTTACATAAATATTAGATCTCTGATACACTGGAGTTCTGTTATTGTTATATCAGCATAGATAGAGAATTTTCCTTTGAGCTGAATTCACTTATGTTTAAGCTAATGTCTATATCTCATTATAAAATGATAAGTGTGAAATTTTGTGTTTTGACATGCATTGTAATAATTTGGCATATTTATCGGTTGGAGCTATATTGATAACTTTTTGCACCATTGTTGGGTTATTTTCTATGAATTTTAATAACAATATTGATGATTTGAAATGATTCAGAAGATGTTATAGTGGCTGATTAATCACTTGTTTCATCTAATCTTACACCCTCTATCTTCAGCATGTCTATAAGCAAGCATTGCAATATCACAAGATCATCTCTAAAGTAAATGCAACAACTAGAAGTTCATTGTCCACATCAAATAGGTCTTCTTCCCCAAATTCTTTTAATGCATCGGCAATAAATGAAAATGAGGTAGTGTGACATATTCTTATTTTCCTTTATTTATATTAACCAATTGTCTTATTCTTATTGAGATCAATCAATTAAACTGTTTCAATTCTTTTTTCTATTTGAATATCAGGTGAAGTTCAAAATTGCATCTTGTCATTGTGCCATAAACGAGAATAGAGCTGCTCTTGCTGAGGTTTCAAACTATATTCTTGTTCTATAATTTGTTGTTGGTCACTATTTCGGGAGTCATAAATTAGTAGTTATTTTGATGTGTTTGTCTTAAAAAGTGTTGACATGTTCTTTACTCGTATCAATATATTCTTCTCTTACTGAATCTTATTAGTTCAGCTGGTACAGTAGTAATTATCGGACTTCTCTTTTGATGAAAACCCAACTTTTCCTTGTGTAATCCCACAATAAGTTTACATGTGTTTGGATTCTGAAATTTGAATGCAATAAAGAAAAATGATTTACATCAAATTACTTTGTTGCATTCTATTTTTGCAGTTATGCATGCCAAAATATTATTTTCTTACTTGTAATCCAACACTCAAGTAGCTGATACAAGTCTGAGTTGCAAGTTGATTTGTTTGAGGTTAACTGCATGATTTTACAGATGGAGGCTATTCCGAGCAAAGCAAGGAACTTGCAGATGAATCTGTTGATGGGAAAACTTTATCGATGTTCTAAACATACTCGTCCTGCCATTGCCTGTTACAAAGAGTGTCTGAGGTCTGTTGGTCACAACAAATCTATGTTTAGTATGAAATTGATGAATTTTCAAGTTCATTCATCATATGTCTTTGTTTTCATTCTTTGTGGTAAAATTGATGAATCTTATCAGTTCTTTTGTCACTTCTATATTACTTCTTGGTTTCCCTTTTGCAGACATTGCCCATATATCATTGAGGCCATTACAGCGTTGGCTGAGTTAGGTGTTCAAGCGAAAGATATTTTTTCATTGCTTCCACAGGTGTGTTAAAGTCACCACACTGTGGCTTCATTATTCATGATCAGTATATTATTTTCTTCTGGCCCCCCCTGGTTGATATGCTTGCTATGCATCCTCTTACTGTAAAATAATAAGATTATCTATACCTTGGTCTTTTTTAGGAGAGCTACCCGCTTAATGTGCTTCCCATTTTTGTGGCATAATATGTTGAATATTGGCTCAAGCTACTTATTTTGCATGTCTCTTTTTGTTTAAGCAAATTGTAATCATTTTTTTGTTTTAATTTTGGTGTTCCAGACGCCTAATAGAAGTGGCAGGCCTCCTTTTGATCAGTTTGAATCCAGCCGTTGGTTGCAAGTGAGTTGCTGATTCATTTTGCTCCATTTTTAATGGTCTGTGCTTTTATCATCTTCCATGCTTTTACTCTCCAGCATGTTTGAAACCTCTATGATGGGAAATAGAAGGAGCTAATTTGGTAAACAATTCTCCCTTTAGGGTTTGTAGACTGCAAGACTGAACTGCTAGGATAGAAATTAGTTTAGACCAACATAATCAATTAATTCTCATCCGCGCTATGCTTAACACACACCTTTTGGGCATAATGAACATTGAGGGAGTTGTTGGTCAGCAGTCAATTATGCATAATCATGCTTTACAACTTGTACATTTGTGAAATGCTGCTTAAAGTGTAGTTGGGCAATGGTGCACAAATTATCAGCAGATTGCTAAAGCAGCTTTACAACTTGAACATCTGGTGATTGCTGCTTAAAATTGTTGAGTTATTACTGACCATCTTTTTCACATATGCATTCAGACTTTTTTTTTGAAAAAGGAAGTTTACACTTCACATCGTTAACCGAGACTGAATTTATGCATACTTGTCAACTGACATACACCATTCTGTAGGGCCTAATCTTTTAGTAGCCTTGTTATTGGGCTTCATACCTGAGGTAGATTTACATGTTCAGTCTCAAAACCCAGGAAAGTTGGCAGATTTGCACTGGGAATAGGGTGTCTCATCAAGATATTCTTTTTATTGTCCAGAAATATTATATGTTTTCATTATTTTTGTGCAGCGCTATGTTGAGGCTCAATGTTGCATTGCATCAAATGATTATAAAGGTTAGTCATATTCTCTTCAACAAACTGTGTTCTAATTTGGGATAATGGTAATGCAGGGCAACAAATTATTAAGAAAACATATAAAAGCAACATTTCTTTTAAACCACTAGTGCTGTTATGTGGTTTCAGAAAAGCTCATATCCAGCAGGCGGCTATTGCCTAAGAGAAGCAAAAGGACTTGACAATTTACAGTTTTGCCTTGGTAGACTTGAGAATTAGTTTGATTTGGGTAGAAGTAGAAATGTGCAACGAACAATCTAGTTGTTAATCATAGTCAGATTTAAAGAATCCTTCTATTAACATTCTTTGCTTACAAGTGCTTTGCCCAGTTATATGGTACAAATACTAAAGATTCGGTACATTCATCATTATTAACAGACTTCACATCTCCATTGAATCATCTTTTCATCTTCTTATTTTTATCATATATATGGTACAAACTGAGTGCTTTCCTTTACTCTTTGTTCTCATTTCTATCTTCCTTCTCCATCTGAAATCAGTCCCTTGCCCTGCTCTCTCAAAAGCCTTGTCCATGGCCACCGTATTTTTTCCAAATTAAATTCTAAGGATTTTTTTTATTTCTTCTCTGCACCTAACCGTCATGTTCTTGATTCATTTTCCTCTTCCCATAAAACTATTCTTATTGATTTTCTTATCTTCAAATTGCTGGTTCCAATAATGCACATGTTGTTTGCCTTTTCACTTATTAGCTGCTACTCACCTGAAACTTTGCTCATTATTGTTTTATTATTGTTACTACCACGAGGACACTAGATGCATATTGTTAGACCAATCAAATGAAAACCCTTATTTAATCTATAGGATATGATAAGCAGGAACTCATGAAGATTTAATTCAAAGTAAAACCAAGTTATAAGACGGGTTTAAAAACAATACACACAAAATGTAGGAAAATAAGAAAACAAATTGATAGCCTGGGTTTGTGGCGTTACCATACAATAAGGACCTTAACTTGTTCTATCTCTTTTACTATAAATGGTTTTTCTTCTCAAAATAGAAAAGAACATAAGTGAATCCTGTTTTTGCTTGTGCTTAACATGCTATTCTTTATGTGCATTTCCCAAAATAATGATAAAAGTGGTTGCTTTAGAATTCAAAATCCATTGAGAATGTTGTTTGTAATTGCATTGCTAAGCCAATGCTTGTTAAGAGTAGTTGAAGAGACCTTAACGCATCTTCAAAAAGGCATTAAGACCGTATATCATATAAACAAAAACTCAACTAGATATCACAATTTAAGTTTCAATAAAAGAAAATATAAATTAGTCTAGTACCAAGAATCAATTAGACAATTACCAAGATAAGGAAAAAGAAAAATACAACCTTAAGTTCCATTTTCATCCAAAGGCATTGGTGGTAGCTGTTGATCATGAAGATGACCAACTTCTGTTGGAATGTTTGTTATATACTATGCATACTACTTCAAAGGAGGGAGATGGGAACTTGAGAATCAAGGTACCAACCTATTATATTGCTGATCATGGGATGTAAATGTGCATCAACATGAACAAGCTACCAATGTGATTTTATCTTAATAATGACATTTAGTTTATGACTTCCTAAGGTGCAATCCTAGTCGAAAGAGAGAAACCCATGGACGCTCTAGTCTTGCATGTATGTGTGTCAATATTTCCTTACAGAATCATGGACCAACCAAGCATAGCCGTACATGGGGTAGTGGACCAGCTCTTTGTGCAACATGACATGTAATGTGGTCTTGTCTAACTCAGTATGCCTTTTATGTGGGATTGATTTGATGCTAGACCTTCTTAGAGTCTTCATCCTATTTGTAATTTAGACACCAAGCTTACCATATGACTACTTCAGTGTATTATTCTAATATAACTTACTATATGCTAATAACGTACAAATGACTAACCTGAAAAGCCATTCATTGCATTGTGCAACTATAATTTAACTTTGGAAGAGAAAAATTTCCTGACGATCAACATAATAAGCATATGAGCTTTTTCTTCTGATGGAGAAGTTTTCCTTTTCTCTTTCTGTTCTTTCTAATGGTAGCTTCCTTGGATTTAACTTCATTTCCCTGCACGTCTTCAAGAATTTCTAGTGTCAGTTCCAGTATTGGTTTATCGTTCTTTTCATGCACATAAATTTGAAGTTATTCTTGAATCTAGTACACTGTTTACTACACTATCTGAAAGGGTTAACACTAAGTAGAAGCCTTTTGATTAATTGATGTGTGTGGTTATTAACATCATTCATATTTCTTAGGTGGTCTGGAACTCTTCTCAGAACTTCTTCAGCGTTTTCCTAACAATGTACACATATTACTTGAAATGGCGAAGGTCAGAAATACTTCTCCAAAACTTGTCTTTTGTTAATATTTGAATTTTCAAGGAATCGGGCAATCATCAGGTTATCTGCTGTTAGTCTTTGCATCATGACGTACAAGATATTCATCCTATTGGTCTTATAAATTATCTTCTCTAATATCTAGTGCTTGGCCGAAAATACCTTTTCCAGCATAAGTAGACTTCCTTTGGTGATAGAATCATCTTTTTTGGTCCACTTCATTTATACAAAGTTACAAACACAATGTTTGTTGACCAAATACAAACAACTTTTTTCTAAATGAGTGATCTGCTGATTTTGTTAAAATTGATGAAAGTAGTTGACACTTGCTACTTTCACAAAGGGTTTGATTAACAAGCTGTCTTCGTCATTTTATTCATATTGCATGCTGTTTCATGCTTCAGGAGGTGATTTATGGTATTTATCTTATAAGTTCTCTTATTGATTCCTTGTTTGAATTTAAGGTGGAAGCTATTATTGGAAAAAACGATGAAGCCATTACGGATTTTGAGAAGGTAACAATACTACTTCTGGTTTGTACTGGTTCTATTGGACATCTTGAAACTTGTACTCCTCATTTTTTCAGTTTTACTTTTATAGGTTCGATCAATTGATCCTTATGTCGTCACCTATATGGATGAGTATGCTATGCTTTTAAAGCTAAAATCTGATCCACTAAAGTTAAACAAGTTAGTGCATGATTTGCTGAGCATTGATCCAGCCAGGCCTGAAGTGTTTGTTGCTTTATCTGTTTTGTGGGAAAGGAAAGATGACAGAGCTGCTCTAACTAATGCCGAGAAAGTATGATTTTTGTAAATGAGTCAGTTTAATCAGATTGCCGTTTCCTTGATGCTAATTGTTTCCAACATTGTTCTGTTATCAGAGCATCCGAATTGATGATAGGCATATAACTGGGCACATCGTGAAGGTACTGCTTAAACTGATTTTAGATTGAACTGTTGGCATGAAGTATAAACATCTAGTCTTGAGGGTATTCTTAGATGTATAAGAGCATCTCCAACAAATTCTTCAAAATGGAGATTTTTGGGAATTTAGAGTACTTTTTTGCTCCAACAGATTCTCCAAAACCTTCTGCAAAATGGAGAAAGATGGTAAAATTCTCCAAATATGGAGAACCCCCTAAAATTTGATGTTTATGAGAGAAATACTTTATTATTATTCCCACCAATTAGACTCCTTGGAACTAAATGTTTAGGAGAGAGAAATAATTATTTATTAAATGTATTGAATATTTTAATAATATAATTAATGCTGTAATTCTACAAAATGAAGAAACTGTTGGAGTTGAGTTTCTTTTATAGAGATTTTGATTTTTGATTGTCCATTTTGGAGAATCTATTGGAGATGATCTTTAGTTGTTGGATTTTAATTACCTTTTCCATTGTTAAACCTTTGCTTAGCTCGCCTACCACAACCTACTTTTTTATAATAAAGAAAGAAGTATAATACCAACAGGGATGAAAACAAAGCCTGAGGAAAACTATACCAAGCAACAGCAAAGAAGATTCATAAAAATTTACAAGGATAAAAGTCGCTGTTGTTTATTTCATTCTACCTATAACTCACCATTCATTTAGATTAAAAATCCATGACAGCATTTACTAGTTCACATAAGCAAATATTAGACTACGTCTATGTTTGTTGTCTATGTACGTGAAGAAGACCAAATCGGTCTTTTTTATTAGCGTCCAGCATCAGAGATAACTGAAATGATCAAATATCTTAACATAAAAGAACTTGATTGAAATGGGCTAGAAGCCTAGAACAGTTGTTTTCTTCTCAGTAGTGCTGATTAAAATATAACTTCAATTGTTGGTTTCTTTGTGATATTCATGCCAATAAATTTGTCAAAACTGATGTTTTAGCTTTTAGGGTAACTTGTTTCTGTCGATGAATCAACCAGAAGCAGCTGTGGGTGCCTTCAGGTCTGCTCAGGAATTGAGACCTGATCTGCGTTCCTACCAAGGTGCATTTGCAAGAAAAACAAACTATAAACTCCTTTCTTGCTTGATACACACATTTTTCTCTCTCTCTCTCTCTCTCTATATATATATATATATGTATGTATACATGCATACATATGTACAAACTTACACACACACACTCTATGATCTTTATTCTGTGCGCCTTGACGTATTATCTTGTATATATGAAAGAATAGATTGAGATTGAATTTTATAAGTTGAATGAACTACTTCTGGTCTCAAAGTCGGTATGAACTCTCCATTTCATGAAAGTCAAATTACCTTACACCAGAAGTACTACAAATAGTAAAGATTGGCATTAAAGATGTATGAAAAAGTTCACACTCCCTTTGTTCTAGAAAAAAGAAACATTTTAGACTGTTCAATGTTGCACCAAGATATGTAAAATAGAATCACCAGCAAGGTTCAATCTAATTTTTGTGTTAAAGTTCAATGTATTCGTCAGTTTTTGTATAAATACTTGCAGAACTCGCCACAATGTCAAAGCTAAAAGCAATCAATCGATTCTTCAAAATCAAATTGTGTATTTTTCCTGGAACAGAGGACATGTCAAACATAGAGTTGGAAAGTAGTCTGATTGACTTCGAAATGTCCAGAGACGAAATATTTTTAATTGATTTATGGAGTATTATTATATCTTCTTTCTTGCAATTGCTTGGAAACTCATGATAAGATGAGGCTTCTATGGTTGTGAATGGACTCCTATTTCTTCAGGCTTGGTCCGATCTTATCTGGCCCTTTTGAAGACTAAAGAGGCTTTGTATGCCGCAAGGGAGGCAATGAAGGCCATGCCTCAATCTGCAAAGGCTCTAAAACTTGTTGGCGATGTATATGCTAGTAATTCTAGTGGCAGAGAAAAGGTATGCTACTCAACCTGGAGGTATTATGTTACATGCTCTCTCATATGGACTTGCATTTTAGTATCTTATAAATTTTGCTAATTTGTAGTTCGTTGGAATTTTGAAGTTATAGAATTCATTGGTTGTGTCACATTGTAGATTCCACCATGATGTCTAGTGTGGCATGCTGGAATCATACAATAAATTGTGAATAAAAGTTAACGTATTATTGGATTTTATAATATTGATTATGTTTGAAGTTAACTACATATATTTATACGTAAGAGAAATTTCATTTAGGAACTATATATTTTGAGAACCATGAGAACCAACTATTCATGACGAATAATACATATATACGCTATGCTGTTAAAATCGCGATATATCGGATATCGGTCTCTGGAAAAATATTGGTGGTGAAATATCGGTTCCGATAATATTGCCGATATTTCACCGATATTTTGATGGAAAAATCGGTCCGATATAACGATTTTCTGTAAGGCAAATGTTTGGGCTTTTTTATTTACATGTTGGGCTTAGTTTTTTGGGCCTCTTTATTTGGTCAACTAGTCAACACATATATTAGGTCTCACGCTTCTTCTCTTCTCGGTTCTTTCATAGTTCACACTTATTGCTTGCGATTAGCTCGTTTTTGAACATTTTTCCTATTTTGTTTTGTGAGAATTGTTTATGTGATGTTTTGATTTTGAAACTATAATTCTAAACTCTAATTAATGCATATGATATGTTTATGGATGCATTCATATAATATATATATATATATATATATATATATATATAATTCTAAGAAATATTATATTAACCACTATTTTGGACCGATATAACTGAAATATCGAATATCGGTCCTGATCGATATTTTGTATTTTGACCGCAATAACAACATAGTATATACATATATACATATGTATATATACATATATATACATATGTGTGTGTATATATATGTAGGGTCAGTTTCAAGGGAAAACTACAAAAAATGAAAAATTGAGGAACACCCTAATAACCGTTCATCCAGACGGTATGCACATGGGCATATAAGTAATGGTTACCAAGGTGTTCCTCAGTTTTTCATCTTTTTGGGGGTTTTCCCCTGAACCTCCGTCTATACATGTATGTATGTATATATGGGGTTGGGTTCTGGTAAGAATGGAATTATGGTGAGAAGGGTAAGAAGGGATCTCCACCCTTGGATCAATCTTATTTGAAGATTAACAGTAATGAGATGCACCAGATCATTTCTCGTGAGAAGCGCAATTCATGGGTTGAGGGTGAGATTAAAAGTGATTAGGGTCTAGATCCCTTCTTACGCTTCTCACCTTAACTTCCATTTTCACACGTTCCTTTGTCTATATATATGTGTATATATAAACCAAACCAAACTAGTAAATCCCACACAGAGGTAGGTTCGGGGGATTTTGGGGGGGGGGGTTGGATTTCATGAAGACCTTGCCTCTACCTCAAGGGGTAGAGAGGCTATTTCTGAAAATACCCCCGGCTTGGAAAAAGAATATGAATTCATTTGAAACAAGGACTCCCTAAGTATGACATACTTTACACAACAAACCACTCCTTATTCTTTAATTGTGACATATTAGTTGCCATCATAAACTGTGACCTCCCACTAGCATACCCAACCCATGACTAAAGGCATAGATGCAACAAACGAAAACTAATGGGTACTAAATGATCTCACCAGGTCAGCAGTTTTGACCTTAGGCAGTCTACCCTCATGGGGCCCTTCTGTTGAAGCCCAAAACATATTTGGTTCATTCTTACTGTATTCCAGACACTCCCAAAACTTGGAAAAGCTTCTAGACACCCCAACTAGTTAAATTAAGGCCTCCCTTAGAGCCTTCATAAGATTGGTTAATTAGCTCATTAGACTCCCACAAGTCTAATGGAACTTTTCAGAAAATTCAGTTTGAAAAAAGAACTTACTGACATGAACTACAAAACAGGCTAAGAAGTTTTACGAGTCTGCCCTAAGGCTGGAACCTGGTTACCTTGGAGCTGCATTAGCATTGGCAGAGTTACATGTTATGGAAGCTCGGAACTATGAAGCTGTAACTCTGCTCGAACGCTACCTCAAAGACTGGGCTGATGACTCACTTCATGTCAAGCTGGCCCAAGTATTTGCTGCTACAAATATGATGCAAGATTCCCTCTCACATTATCAGGCTGCTTTGAGGTATATCCTATTTAGATCCCCCTAATCTTCACTTGAGTGATGATATATATAAATACACATATATATAGAGTTAGGTTCAAGGAACACCGTAAAAAAATGAAAAACTGAGGAACAACTTGGTAAGCGTTCATTTGGACGGCATGCACATGTGCATACCGGTAATTTTAAGCAATTTTTTCGGTATGCACACGTGCATACTAAAACAAGAAACAACTTTAATTACCAGTATGCACATGTGCATACTGTCCATTTGAACGGTTACCAGAGTGTTCCTCAGTTTTTCATTTTCTCGAGGTTTTCCCTGAACCTCCCCCTCTATATATGTATATATATACACACATACATAGGGAGTTTAAAATACAACCCATTGAATTCTTACAGTCCATACAGACAATGATCATCACTTATATTAGGAAACAATTGAGATATTTATGGAAGATTATATTCATTCATTCATTAAGATCATTATTTTAGATTAGGAAACAATTGAAATATTTATGGAACTATATATTCATTAGGCTAGATGAACGGTTAAGTTGGTTTGTATGGGCTGTATTTGAAACTCCCTCTATATATATGGAAAAAGATCAAATGAGAACCACGAGAACCAATATCTATACTATATTATAAAACATTTGACAAAAACTCTTAAAAACTATTTTTTATGCATGAAGTACTGTTTATTGATGCATATTACTTAAAATTCAAGATCACAAGTAAATTGTGCGTGAGTTAATTATTAAAGCTTCATTTTTGAATTTGTGTTACTAACTATAGATAAACATAATCAAATACGAGATAGACATTTCATTTTGAATATAAAAAATCTAAAGTATAATTAGGATAATCATTATTTATAACAAAATACTTGATTATTTATCTTTATAAAAAATTATATTATTAAACAATAAATAAATTACTTCGTTATTAAATCTAAATTAAATTATAAATAAAACATTGAATTAAAGAAATTACACAAAAAACGAGAACTTTAAATAGTAAATTTGATACTATTGTCGATATATCTTTTTCCAAATTTTTATGATATCTTTAAATTTATATTTTATTCAAAAATAAAAACATTATCGCTTTCTCAAAACCATTAAAAACCGTATTATATCAACTGAGATAAATAATAAAACGAAACATTAAAATTAAAATATATCTCGCTATATTATGCGATCACCCTTCTAGTATGTATTGATGCATATATATGCTAAACGAATTTCATTGCATACAGCCACCAATGCATATATAGTACACATCCATTGATGAATATACTGATTGACAGAATACATGTGTTGATATATATGCATATGTGTATGTGTGTGGTGTGTGCACTTGTATATGAATGCAGGTTGCGTATCTAATGTACTTTTGTGATATTTCAAAATTGTCAAGGAGCTGGAAATAAGAAATGAAAATGCTTATGTTATGGTGCTGTAACATTCTCAATTTCAGGATTAATCCCCTAAATGAGGCAGCAAAGAAAGGGTTGGAGCGATTGGAGAAGCAGATGAAGGTGTGCTTTACATTATGTGCCTCCAAAAACAATTATGCACACACTGTCTTATTTGAAAGAGGAAATGACAAAAATCTAAATAAATTTCGATCACATGAAATCTAAATTGACTTTTTGTTTGTTTAGGGAGTCGATCCTGATGCCCCTGAAGAAGAGGAGGAGAACGATGCTGATGATGCTGATGGTGATCCAGAAGAGACGGAGCTTTTGTGATGGATCAAGAGGTAATTTTCGGCTGCTTATCTATTCTACGGATTATGTTTATATGAATCTTTGGCAAGAAAATCGGTCAAAACTTAAAGCTTAAGGGCATATGCGTGTGTGGCTGTTACCATGGAAGGAAAGTTGTCACAATTTGAATCTTTTTATAAAGGGTAACCCTTTCGTGAACAGGTATCCGTGCCATCAAATGTTACAAGATCAGCTGTTTACCGGTCCAAATGGGTTCAAGATAGGAATTTTGAAAAATTGTTACATATTGAGAAAAACAAATTATTCGGTACACTAAATAGGAATTAAACCAAACTTTGTTGCATTTTTTTGATGCATTTTCCCCTTCTATAAACATATGAATGATATTTGTCACCGAGGTTCTTTCAGGTCCAAAATTGGCTACATCTCCCATCTTCATTGTTCGTCTTGATATATCTTCGGGCATATCGCTTCGGTTTGGATTCAAAGGTAATGAGAAGTTGAAAACCTGTGTGGTACTATTGGTCGACGGTTAGATACAACTCAGATTCATCTATATCCTACATAACCCATGTTCGGAAGAAGATCAAGATTTATTCAACAAGAGTTTGAATGTGGGGTTTCTTCCTGCCTAAATAGAATTGGTGAAGAAATGTTGTATAAACTCATGTGGGATTGTAAATTAAATCTACTCGATTGGCATGGATTGGAAAGCTCGATCCAGAATCTTATCTCTGACTCTTTATAAAACCATCGAACGATTTATGAACTAGTTTATTTTTAGGTATCTTTTCCTCAAAATTGTATCTATATTGGAATAAGTTTTTATGGTTTCGTTTGCCTTATACATATCACTACTTTCTCACCCGTCTCCTTTGTAACTTTTGGTTTTGCAAACCGGTGATCTTTACAGAAACCTCTCTATTGGTGTATAGTGGGTTCGTTTGGTTTTCAACTGCTATGCCTAGGTTATTTAGAGTTCTTAATCATTTAAGGGTGCATTTGGTGTGTGAAATCAAACGGGACATGACAAGATAAAAACGTTTTTCCTACGTTTGCGCAACATTGGAGTGTGACAGGACTACATATGTGAAATCAACTGATCGTATTCCAAACTTACGTAAGTATGCAAAATTCGATGCATAGTTGTTTACCCAAGTAGCTGGTGTCTTGACGACTTGAGAAGTCATGTTGAACTCGCATTTGTAAAGTCAGAAAACTTTTGGTACATTGCATGCCGGGGATTTTACTGAAGCCGACCCACAAAGGTCCAACCAATACAACCCAATCTTAATTGTTCATTTCATTTGATTAATATGTGATTTCATAAAAGTTTTTATTGTTTCATAATATAAAGTATCGATCATAATTAATGAACCATATTCATTTTCCATAAATATTCAAATCATAATAAATAAACTCTCGTTATTTCCATAAATATTTCAATATATTGGATTGCATTAGTTGTACAAATGCGATGAGTTGTATTTGAAACTCTCTCTCTCTCTCTCTCTCTCTCTCTCTATATATATATATATGTATACACACACACGGTTGGGTTCACGTGTGACCACTTTTTTACACTTGAAACTTCACAGCAAAATGATGTGAAGGTAAAAAAAAAAGCCGAACCTTCATAGCAAAAACACTGTGAAGGTTACCTTCATAGTGTTGTGCTGTGAAGTTTAAGTGTAAAAAAATGGTCTCACGAAAACAAGTTGGTCTCATGTGAACCCAACCATATATATAGAGGTAAGTTCCTTTTGTTAACCCAATTTATGGTATTAACCTTGTAAATCCATCACAACCATTTATCTTATGAATCAATGGATGACAATTATGACGACAATTTTGTAATAATTAATAATATAATACATTATCATCTAAAATGAACAAGAATATTATTGAAAAAAGTTCATAAAGTTTATAACTGCCCATTAATGACATTAGTATTCATATTCATATGAACATTAAGCTATTATCATTAATAGAAAAATCTCCATTATAATGAACATTAATATACACATGGGCATCTCCCCCTATATGAACATGAGTTCACTTAAAGACAATATAATTATGTTCATTAATTTTATTGAACACATATGAACACCATTTGGTTATGCACACGTTCTTATGAACACATTCTTATAGGGGCTGATTTTTTTTATTAACTCTATGATTGATGTTAACTATGTGAACCAAATCCAATCTTAGCCTTTAATCTTTGAAATCTATGGATTAAATCATGGCATATTTGTAATAAATAAAAGTTTGAATAAAAATAAACATTGATGAACATTCTAGAACATCTATGAAAAATCTTATTGAATACCATATGGTTATGAAGACAATTTTATGAACGCCTTATGATCATAAACACATTCTTATGAAGACCTATGAACACATATGAGCACATTCTTATGAATACCTTATGGTTATGAACTTATTTTTTATGAACACCTATGAACATCATTAAATACCATAGAAAAAAATCCACATAAAATTTACATAATTATTCTTCATCATTAAATCAAACATTTGAAATAACCTTGTAATAAAAAAAAAAATATCTTAGAAAAAATACCCAGAAGATTTTCCAACAACTCAAAATGATATAATA